CAGGGCGTTACAAAATCACTTTAAAGTATCTACGTAATTTAAATTCATCTTTTTGACAAAAAAATTTCCTCTTTTTCAATTTAATCTCTAAACTTTATATAATTTTATTGTTTCATCAATTCGCTCTTCGTTTTAAATATGTTTTGACTAAATTTGAACCATATGTTCATCTACCACGTTAGAATACCTAGTAATTTTAAATCTTCATTTTGAAAATAAATATATTTCTTTTAATTTAGTCCCTCATCTTTCTATTTTATTTAATTTTATCATTTGACTGTAACTATTTGTAAATTCTTTCTTTCTATCAATTCTTTGACTCCTCTAAACTCATAAATATTTTATCCTCAAAATCATTTCTTTAAAAAAATAATACTATAAATATATTATATATTTTTAGATAATACTTGATTTATTAGATAATAATACAACTATTACTTACACATGTGAAATAGAACATAAAACAATATGTGTGTATATCGTACATGATTAGAGAAAGTCGTTTAAATTGAAATCAATCAGTATCATAACATTATAAATAATTACATTTAAATTTGAACAAAAACTTGAACAAATATATTTAAATTGACTCAAAATTTTTTTTAAATAAAGTTTAAATTTTAAAATGATATTCGTAAACTTGAATAACTCAAGATTATTTACTTATTAACTGGATCGATTACTTACTCGTAATAACAATACATAAAATTATTCTTAATAAAAAAGAATAAATTTGATTGAACTATGTTCATTTTTTAATTATAATTACAAATAATATTTTTATGACTACAATAAAAATTAATTAATATAATAAATAAATTCGTAATAATTATGCATAACTACCTTTTTTTTCTTTTTCTTTTTCTTGAAAAATGCATATATAACTTCCATTAGTATCAGATTTTTTAGGACATTTTTTTCTAATATACTTACATTTCAAAACGAAAAGCAATGTTTATAAAAAATTCAAACCGATCAGGTTATTAATTTCTTATTTAACAATAATAATATAAAAAATTATTTTAAAATGTGAAGAAGAAAAAAATCATAACCGGTTGAATCATTGTTTCTAATTGGCTTAATACCAAAATAAGTGTCCAAATATATCTCTTTTCTTGAATATGTGCTTAAACTATTTTTTTGACTCATCTCAGTGCCTAATGTTACAAACGTGACCTCTTTAGGTGCCCGGACCGTCAACAGTGTTAATTTTCCCGTTAAGTGGCATGTGTCACAACTTGGTAATTTTAAAAAATTTATTTAAAATAAAAAAATAAAATTATATATTTTTTAGAAAAGAAAACAATAAATTCTTTTAAATAAACCTAAAACTTTGAAAACCTTCATTTCAACCCCTGAACCCACGCCGACAGCCGCCCTTTGCCCTTTGCTTAAACAATAAAATAGTAATGTTTGTAACGTCAGGCACCTGGATATGTCAAAAAATAGTTTAGGCACATATTTAGAAAAAGCGATATAATTTGGACACTTATTTTAGTATTAAGCCTTTCTAATTTTCTACTTATTTTGAACTTGTTTATTGATATAATTATAATTAAAGGTACGTTGTTCTCTTAAATTTAAATAATTGTATATGCAGGGTGTACGTTGTTAATAATTATATAAAATTATCAACAAACACTCTTTTATAAGCGAACTTAGATTAATAAAAAAATCTACTTATTTTAAACGATTCATTCTACTTATTTAACTCTTAATTTTCCTAAAATTATGGCTTTCTTGGTAGAGACAATCCGAGTCATAGATGATGTAGCTTTTCCTATTTCTCTTACATAATTTATGTAAAAAATATATCGTTAATATTTATAAAATATATATCAAACAATTACATATGCATATGTGCAATTGGCCCCAACAGATTGAATATGTCAGACAGGCACATTGAAATAAATCACTCTTTATGAAGTTCTGGATTACGGTTGGGGTAAACCAAAAACATGAAGAAAAAAATGTTAAATCCTTCAATACTTCATATGTCCTAACAATTTAAATATTTCTTAGACCCCTATCAGTTTTTAAAGTTAAACATACTATATCCTTTTTCTTTTTTCTCAGCAACGAATATTTTATTAATGATAATTAAAACTCGGTTATATGCCTCGTTAAAAGTTTTCTTAACCTAAATAGAGGAAAAGAGTACACCCAATTAGGAGTCTAATACGAAACTAAAACTCAAAAACACCGAATCAGCCAATACATGGAGCAACAGACTATCTACATACCTTAACAACTATGAAACGGTCCAGATTTACTCACGAAATAACAGAAGAAAAACGTAAGGAAACTCCATCAAGAAGAAAAAATAGACTACTACCATGCTTTAAAAAGCACATTCCTCATCGACTCTACCTTAGGTAAGTGATCTGTCGTTCTATTCTGAGCTCTTGGCACGTAAACAAACTGCAACCCCGAACTATCTCAAACCATTCCATCAATTTCATCAGAGATATTCCACCATTTCCACGGTATCAATAGTTGGGAAGTGATCTAATTCAGAACAAGTTGGGAATCATACTCTATACAAAGAGATACTTTACCTGACCAATCTGCCTCTCTAAAGACTTGTAATGTTGTTTTAACTGCTAGTAATTCTGCAAAATCAAGCCCAAGATCAAATGTAAGAGAGGTATGGATATTGATACCGCGTGAACACTTGTAATGCTGTTTTAACTGCTATTAATTTTGCTTCTATCTGTAAACACTTGTAATGTTGTTTCATCATAGTATTGATACCGCATGAACAATATCGATATTGTTCTTGTAGTATCTATACCAAATGTAAGAGAGGTATCGATATTTTCATGACAATATCGATACTACCTTGGGTCTTCCAATATGTTTAAATTCCAATAAGAAAAAATGGTACAAATACTCAAATGATTATCGATACTACTGTATAGTAGTATTGATACTCATTCAGCCCAATGGTAAAAAAAACTAGTTTTTTCGATACTCATTACCTGAGTACCGATACTCCATGTTCTGGACAATTTGCTTTTGCAGAAAATTAATCACAAATGGCTACAAACATATTCCAACACATAAAAACAAGTTGAAGACACTTGAAGAAAGTTACAACACCTATCCAAGCAATCCACATCAAGAGAAAAACTCTTGCAATATTATTTTTCCTTTTCTCTCTTGTACATAGAGTATTTTTGTGAGCTTAATTTGTAAACACTTACCTTTTAGAGGTTTTCTTTTTACAATCTTTTATCATTTTGTAAAAGGGGTTTGGTTCTAATCTAGCCATTGAAAACTAAAGATTTGTAAAAATATTACTCTTGAGCTCGGAAAAAGAAAAGAACAAATTATTAAATTTATTAGAAATCATTAGTGTGGAGCTAAGGTAGTGGATGTAGACTTCATTTGAGGAAGTTGAACCACCCTAAATACTTGTACAAATTTTTTATCCTCTCTCCATACCCAAAATTTTCAGTTGGTCAATTTACCCCTCTTGACACATTTTCGTTGATCGGCAACGAAAATCCCAACCCAAGTCATGTGCCAAAATAATGTAGTTTCTTCCTTTGATCTTCCCTCAAAATGACATAATATTGAAGGTGTATATAAACTCTCAAATTATTTTTTCCCCTTTTTCAGTTGTCCCCTTTTTTCTTCTCTTGAACTATTTTTGGAATTTTCTTGAAAACTCGTCTCAAAAACCAGCTGGAGATCGGACTCAAAGTTTGAATTTAGTTAATATCGTTAAATCATTAACAAAAATTAACGTGATATGGACACATATCAACGACGACTAATATGATGTATCCATAAGTCAGCATCAAATGAATCAACATGCCTTCATATTATTTTTTCTTAATAAATGATATGTGTGTGTATACTAACTTAGGTGAAGATATGTAGGTGTATTATATCATTTGTCTGTGACATGTGGATGTACCACATTTCATGTTATTAATAGTTTAATGTCTAATAACTAAAATGATTTTTTTGAACGAAGGTGATTTAAATATTTTCTTATTTTAGTGACTAAAGTAAAATGACCCTAAAAATTTATTAGAATTTTACTTTTTTTAATTATCTCAATTGTTTCTTAATGATGCTATAGTCTGAATTCCGTGCTTCCGATAAAATTTCAAATATTCTATTCTTTTTAATAAAAGTATTCTACATCTTATCACATTACTATTGCAATTATTAATCATGAAGTAGATTTAAAATATGTTCACAAGATTTTAATATTCAAGAAAATAAAAAATGTTTGTGAATTCTAAAAATTCTAAATTATTTTTATAATGAAAAAATTGTCTTCATAATTATTTTTTCAATTTAATTTTTATTATTTAAAAGATGTGATATTTGGAAAGATATTCTAATTATGGATGTTCATGGACTCAAACCCGATAAATTTCTACTTGACCTAACGAGTTTCGATCCAATCAGTTGTAATATAGAATCCATCCAATTTTATTGGGTCATTTTAAAAAAAAAAGAAAACGAATTTGGGTCAAGTCGACTTTTTAGAATATAAGTTTGGGTCAGATAAGGTTCGGGCTTAAGGTGACATATATCTGACCTAATTTGATAAAAAAAATACAACTATACTTTATATAGTTAGAGATAATTGAAATAATATCATTCTCTGTATTTGCTTTTTCAATTAGACTCCTATTTTATCAAATAAAATTAAGAATTATATATAGGTCAGATTAAATTGAGTGTAAATATATCTCAAAAGATGAGTTGAATTTTGGGTCGAGTAAAATCATCCTAAATACAAATCGAGTCAAATTTCAAATGAAAAATATATTTTAATCCCCCAAGATGGACCAAAAATCCAATCCATGCTTTTCCTAATTCTAATGTAAAATCATTCAAAAGACTGAAAATGTAAAAAGGATCTAATATAGATAAGAATTAATTTAAAATTTTAATTGAGAAAATTTATCAATTTTAAATACTAACAAAACATTTTATCTCCAACTAAAATATAATATTCTAGATTTGTTCTCGGCGTTGGATTCTTAACAATTTATTTCAAAATGTAGATAAATGAGATGGTGAATCATTTGGCAGATCATCAAGGATGTTGTCCCAGTAATCCTTGTCTTCTCCGAAACCATTAGCATAACTTGTCCCGACATCGAAGTTTTCTGTAGCCTGCATCGACGAACTCCGCTGACAATGTTCCGCAGCATTACAGACCATTAAAGTATCCTCCGAATAGCCTTCCAATTCCATGGCAGCATTTCCCGCCCACCATGCATTCTCATTCGACCCCATTGTTGAATCCACACATTTCCCGTTAATTGAGTTCCCAACAAAGCATTCGTCGTTGAATCCGACGTCGGAAACCGGCAACGTGTTCTCCGTGAAGTTCAACGTCGAGTTCGGAGATTGGAGGTTGCTGTCGGAAGTGAACAATCCGGTTACTACACGTTGCCAAGCTTTGAGCACGTCGAGGCACGGCGGCTTAGTCACATGAGCAAAACCAAAGTTTTTGTTATTCACTGGTGGAGCAACCGAGGAGAAACCGAGCTTCGTCCTCGACTGTCGGAGTCGGACCAATCTAGCCTCGGCTTCTAACCGAGCACGTTCCCATTGAGCCATGTGACTAAGGTTGGAGTTATCACCGCTGGAACCGAGTGCATCGGCTTTAGGCTTGTGAGTCATGGGATCGATCCCCATCTTGTCCAACCTCTTCTTCAACCTCGTGTTCCAGTAGTTCTTGATCTCATTGTCGGTCCTTTTCGGCAAATGAGCCGCAATGGCCGACCACTTGTTTCCAAGGAAGGCATGGAGTTGAATGATGGTTTGTTCTTCCTGCAAACTGAACTTCCCTCTTTTGATGTCCGGTCTTAAGTAGTTAATCCACCTCAGTCTGCAACTTTTTCCACACCTTTGAAGCCCTATACATATACAATACAAATCAATGTGAAAAACAAAGAAAAGAAGATGAGGTAAAGAGAAGTGGGGGAATAATGACCGGCTTTTTCCGGCGTGGCACTCCAGCTTCCGTCGCCGTGTTGTCGGATATAAGACGAGAGCTTTTCGTCTTCTTCCGGAGTCCATGGCCCTTTCTTCAACCCTGCCTTCTGGGAACACAGAGGCTGCCGCATGTTCTTTGGATTTAAGCCGAACGGATTCGAAAAATGAATTTTTCTTTTTATTCCTTCAAAAAAGACTGATTAAAAGACGATAGAGAGACAAGCAAGATAGTAGAGATTGTTAATTTAAGTAGAGATATGACTGGAGGCTTTTACTGTAGTAAATATTATTTGTTATGGCTGTATAATACCACTACACCCCTAATTACGTACATTATGGAAGTAATTTATATCTAACTATATAAATTAAGTGTATGATTGAATTTATATTTGAAGATAATTTGATTTCAGTTCGATTGGAAAAATATTAAAATATTATTATTTTTAAATGAAAAAGAAATATTATAATGATGATATATTTTATATATTTTATGTTATATAATTATTTAATAAAATAATTAAAAATCATAAAAATTGAGTGTTTAAAGATAAAACTTGTGATTAATAAAAATTTATGTAAATCTTTTATCATTCGATCGATGATTATTTATTAAAAATAAAATTTTATGAATATTTTTTATATTAAATATTTTTATCTATATCGTAAATGTAATATAATATAATTAATTTTATTATGATCAAAAGTAGAGGCATAATTGTTTTTCACAGGCAAAATGGAATTATAAATTTTGGGGGCAAAGTGCAACGTTAGCATTAAACTAATTTACGTTTAACAGTTTTAAAGGACAATTTTCCCATTTTAGGAGGCTATGAGATGTAATTACTTAAGTAAGTGTAAATGTATTGAAAAGTTTTACTATTTTTTAAAATAATATGAAATTATTATAAGGTAGTATATTATCATAATATTTTAATCTATTGACAATACTGTAAACAGTGGTTTTAGTCCCGATTATTATTATTATTATTATTATTATTATTATTATTATTATTATTACTACTACTACTACTACTACTAAATAATAATTAAATTTTATTACAGACCCAATTACAAGCAAACCCGAAGCCCAATTACAAACAAACCCAAGCCCGATACATGATCCAGTAGGCCCAGAATGAAGACCCAATGTTGTAACCTGATCAGGTGGCCCAAAACTGCCTAGGGTTTCTGGCTGAAAGACCTAGCGCCGCCAACCCTTAGCCTTTGGATCTGTGACAGATCCAACGGTCAATATCTCCCATCAACTAGGGTTTTACCCTAATGCTCCTGCCAGCCGCCTCCTCTAGTGAAGACCAAAAGGCCACTGACTAAACATGGATGACCACTCAGCCACCGCTATGTGAGCCGCCGCACCGGCCAAATCAAAGAATATTTGGGTGTATTTAATGCACCCAGCCACCTCATCGGCCGCCCTTGGTGAGTCACAGTCGCCCTTAGTCATCCACCACTATAGATCGGTGACTCAGAGGGAGCCCCTCCTTTCAACTGGTCCAAGAAGTGAACTTCGGGTCCCTATAAAAGGAACTTACACCTACAACAAAAAACAACAACCAGGCGACCAACAACCATTTGAGAAAGACAAAACAGAGGGCCAACAACCATTCGAAAGCAACAACAAAGAAAAATGAGAAGAGACCAAAGAGAAAAAACTTACCTCGTCGTCACCGAAGCCTTCAAGCGTCGTCAGAGAGTCATCGATACGAAGGTAAAATCCTAGATCTACAGTGTTTGTAAGGTTTTTAGGATGAGGGAAGGTCGAATTCGAGTTTAGGGTTGGAAAAGGGTTATTTTGAGGTGTTTGTTAGGTCGTCAATCGCCAAGTGCGACGGCGGGGAACTCCGAATGATGGTGGCCGGAGGTTGCCAGCCTCCCTTCGGTGAAGGAAGGAAAAGAGAAAACAGAGAGAACTTCTTTCTATCTTTTTAGAGAGAGAAAGAAAAATGAGAAATGAATGGCTTAAGGCTATTTTTGGGCTGGTTAAGGGTATTTATACCCTTCCCCATACGACGCCATTTAAGGGGGTGTATACGTTTTGGGTGCGTGGGCAAACCTCATCCCATATCCCTCGTGCTGTGTAATTTCTTCTTTTGGTCACTGAAATGAATGTTCCACGTATTTTAATTTGGATTTTAAATTTTACTTTGTTTCTATTTTAGTCCCTAACCGTATTTATAGGTGTTTTGAGTAAATATTTTATTTAGTCCTTATATTTTAATGATTTTCATTTTAATCCCTTTTATTTGTTGTTTCACATGGTTGATTTTAATTGTATTCAATTTCATCCCTAATTTAAATTGCATGTTTAGTTCCTGTTTAGTCTCTAATTAATTTAGTAATTATTCAATTTAGTCCCTTGTTAGGTAATTGTCTTCTTTAATTAATGATATATAGTCGTTTTGCATGTTGATATGCTTACATATGTATGAATATGCTAATGATTTATTTGCGAATCACATGGCATTATTTTTACATGAGATTTATGATATCCTCACAAACATAGCTCTACTCGACCCATATAAAATAATTTGACTAAGGGTAATACCTTTTCGTTTTAAAGTTGACCTGAGGTGGCTGTCTTAACTTATGAGAAAGCTACTGTTGAAAACTTTTTTATATTTCGATATAACAAATTAGTTTAAATAAATTTTAAGATTTTACAAACTATTTTCTAAATATATTCGATTCAATTAATCGAATATCAAATTATTACTCCAAGTCTTTTAAGATCAATTTCAAACCTTACTAAATGTGTAAAATTGTTTTGAACCAAAAATCAAGCTTAAAGTCAATTTTTCAGAGTGATGCACCGATGCACCAATCCATGCATCGATGCACCATGAATTAAATTGAACATCGAATGCATTTCATACATCGATGCACATACCATGCATCGATGCACTAAGGATTTTATGAAAACATCGAATGCATTTGATGCATCGATGCACCAGCCATGCATCGATGCACTCTGGCTATTTTGAAACATCGAATGCACTTGATGCATCGATGCACTCTTAGTGCACCGATGCGCTAAGGGTCCAACGGTCAAAATATTTGAATTTTACATTGATGCACCGATGCACCATTGGTATGCATCGATGCACTGACGCTCCCAATTATTTTTAATTAATTGTTTTCACACTTAAACGGCTATATTGACTCCACTAATCATCCCCAACATTCAGAAGTGATTCAAGGTGTATTTAAGCAAGCTTAGAAGCCATTGATCAATAACAAGAAACATTAAGCAACTAGAATCAAGAGAGAATCAAAGAGAAAGCATCAAACCTCAAGTTTGAGCATTTCAAGCCTATTTTTCATTCAATATTCATTTTGCTTTCAAGAACACTTATTGTGCTCAATTGTATTCATTCTTGAGTGTTCTTTTCTTTTTTCTAGAATTGTGCAAACAATCTACCTTGTGAGGATTTCCTTGTAAGTTTGCAAATTTGTATTGTTCTCTTTAGGAGAGAGTGTCTCAAGAATTTGGGGTATAATTCTTGAGGGATTGTAAGGTTACTCTTTGTCCTCAAAAGAAAGACAAATTAGTGAATTTGTGGAAAATCCTTAGTGTGGATAGTTATGGTAGTGGACGTAGACTTTGGTTGAGAAAGTTGAACCACTCTAAATCGCTTTGCAATTTCTTTCAATTTTCTGCAAAAGCTTCCACCAAAATTTTTATTGCCAATTCACCCCCCTCTTGGCCAATTTCGTCAATCTATTAACTCAACAATTGGTATCAGAACCTAACTCATTTGAAGGTTTAATCGCCTCTTGATTCGATTCGAGAAGAGTTATATCGATAATCAAAGTCATCAATGGCCTCTACTTCAAACTTTGACTCCGGTCTCGATTCGATGCTCGTCAACAAGCCTCCTTTCTTCAATGGGGCTAATTATGCTTATTGGAAAAATAGGATGATGTACTTCATTCAAGCAAGTGACATGGGAGCATGGAATGTCGTAGAAGAAGGATACTTAAGCCTCTCACTCATTCAAGATTATGGAGTGAAAGAGAGACAAAAATGTTCCAGCTCAACTCCAAAGCAATCCATATCATATTTTGTGCTCTTGGACCAGATGATTACGGAAGAGTTTCATCTTGTACAACCTCCAAAGGAATATGGGACAAACTTCAAGTCACTCATGAAGGTACCGATGAGGTAAATAAATCTAAAATTAGTATTCTAACACATAGCTGTGAAAATTTCAGGATGAAACCAAACGAAGATATCAAAGCTATGACGGATAGATTCTCAACGATTGTCAATGGTCTCAAATCATATGGAGAGATCATTTCAAATGAAAAGCTTGTGAGGAAGTTAGTCTACTCCCTCCCAAAATCGTGGCAATCAAAGAAGATGACAATCATCGAGTCTAAGGATCTAACATCCTTAACTCTTGAAGAGCTAATCGGTTCACTCCTCACTCATGAAATGATGCTTGAAGATGAGGTGGACCTTGATAAGATTGAAGAGACACCAAAGGAGAAGGAGAAGAAGAGAAACGTTGGAGTTGCTCTCAAATCCACAAAAAATGAGAGTGATTCGGATGAAGATGACGATGACGAGGAAATGGCATTATTTTCCAAACGGTTCAGAAAAATGATGAGACCTTACCGAGGAAGAAAATTCAAACGAAATGAAGGACTCAAAAATGAACCAAAAGAGAAGGACCCGATCATTTGCTATGAATGTAAAAAGCCGAGGCATGTCAAATATGATTGCCCACAACTAAAGAGAAAGGGTCAATCAAAGAATAAGCACAAAGCTCATGTGGCTACATGGAGCGATGAAGAAGGTTCCGATGAAGAGGAACAAGAAGTAGCAAACTTGTGTTTGATGGCATTCGGGGAAGATTCTAAGGTAACCTCTAACTCATCTGATTTTGATGATTTATCCTATGATGAGTTATTAGAGGAATATAATGGGTTGGCTACGGATTATGAGAAATTGTTTTTAAAATATAAAAATGATGTTTCAAAATTGAAAAATGAAAATAAACTCATATCCAAAACCAACAACGATCTTGAAAGTAAAATCAAAGATTTGCAAATCAAACTAGAAGAGTTTGAAAAGAAAACTTTGGATTTGCAAAATTTACTTTCAAAGGTCAATGATGATCATCAAAAGAAAATTGAT